CCGGAGCGTCGATTCTTCACATCAGCTATATGTTCTTTGACGCGGGTTTTAATTGATCTTTCAGTTTGTCCTATGTAGGAGAGACCACATTCACAATCAAGCTTGTACACTCCTGCATCTTGCAGAGGGACGTTACACTTGACTGATGGTAAAAACTGACCAATCTTCTTCGGCGGCTTGAAGTATGTTTTGATGGAAGCGCGCTTCAAGATGTAGCCAATCTTGTCAGTGACTCCTCTAACATATGGCAGTACAGCAGGTACACGCTCGACAAACAAGCAAGTAGATGGTGTGGCGATGGGCTCACCTGTATCTTCCATTGTCGCCGACATATTCATGGAAGACTTTGAGGAGAAAGCCCTGCTTACTTCTCCCATAAATCCAAGATTCTACAAGCGGTACGTAGACGACACTTTCACAATTCTACCTTTAGATAAAGTAACTGCATTTTTAGACCATCTTAACTCTATAAATACTAAAATTCAGTTCACAATGGAGTTAGAGGCAAACAATTCCTTAGCTTTTCTAGATGTGTTAGTAATTCGGAATCCTGATAACACCTTGAGCCATACTGTGTATAGAAAAAAAGACCCATACAGATAGATATTTAAACGGTGATTCTCACCACCATCCTTCACAGTTAGCTACCGTGGGTAAATCTTTGTTTCAGAGAGCACGAGGGATCTGTGACAGTAAACACCTGGCTGCCGAGCTCCAACATGTCAAGCAAGTTTTGCATGACAACAAGCTTTGGGTCCCGCGCCTACGTCACAGAGAACGAGTGAAGCCGGCCACAGTCGAGCGTGTACCTGCTGTACTGCCATATGTTAGAGGAGTCACTGACAAGATTGGCTACATCTTGAAGCGCGCTTCCATCAAAACATACTTCAAGCCGCCGAAGAAGATTGGTCAGTTTTTACCATCAGTCAAGTGTAACGTCCCTCTGCAAGATGCAGGAGTGTACAAGCTTGATTGTGAATGTGGTCTCTCCTACATAGGACAAACTAAAAGATCAATTAAAACCCGCGTCAAAGAACATATAGCTGATGTGAAGAATCGACGCTCCGGGAAGTCTGCAGTCTGTGAACATGTACAGGATCGCCCCCGTCACTACATCAGATTTGATAGACCACAAATCCTCGCTAAAGAACACCGATTCCTTCCAAGGATGATTCGCGAGGCTATTGAAATCAAAAAACATCCTAATTTCAATAGAGAAGATGGCTGGGTGCTACCATCTGCTTGGGATCCAATAATAAATAAAATTAAATCCCAACCCAAGCATACAACTGCAAGACTCCATGATACCATAAGTTCATACTGTGTAGATCGGAACAAAAGTTAAATTTTAATCTATGGTAACCGCGGTTAACTATGACAGCTGGACGTTGAACATCTCAGTCCTTCCCGTGACCATGGGTGCTGTAAAGCTCTCGAAACGTCGGGTAAAAAAGTTAAATATACGCGATAAATTCCGTAAAAATTAGTATTATTTTAAATGAACTATTATTATTATGAATAGGAAAGTTGCAGTTTAATATTGCTGTGATTTGTATGGTGAATGAAGAAAACTGGAAACCTTTTAATGATAACGAGGCATTCTATCTAAATCCTCAAGATTAATACGCATACAATTTGATTTATAGAATAAGGGCGACAAACGAGCACACAGTCCTCCTGATGGTAAGTGGATGCTGTGGCCCATAGACATCTACATTTATCTTCGATTGTTATCAAAACGCAGATGCGTTTCACCCCCGAGACCTAAGATGGTATGCCTTGTTTCCAGTAAAAAAGGGTCTCTGGTTCTCTACACTTACCATACGAAACACAGCAGCATTAAGCTGCTATTTTACGCTGGTATTCTGTGAGAGCGTGGTCCTTCCACAGTCGAGCTAACCTATTCGTGCTACAATACTAATGGCTCTACCACGTATAAAATTTGTTTCTCAATCGAGGATAGATATAGATGTCTACGGGCCAAAGAATCTACTTACTATCGGATGGATATTGTGATTGTTAGTCACCCTTATTCAAGCAAAAATAGTACCACTACCCCATATCGTCCCGTGGGTTTTTTCACCGCCACTACATGGTTATTATAACACAATCGTTTAGAAAATCTTTAGATACTTCATCTATCTATCTTTATATATACGGATAGATTCATAGATAGATGATACTTTTAGATTTTAAATAAGTATTGTTTCCAATAAAATATGTTAAATGATAAAACTATCATTAAGTCACGTTCGACGCCATTAACGTTTTATATCAACATGACACGGCGGTACGTGGAAACAATAATTGAGCGTGCTATCTGTTGCTCGTGAATAGTTTTATATTGCAATCGTAAATTAAATTTTATATCGGATATATTAATGCTTGTGCATTACTTGTTAGTAGTGCAATTTTGCGCAAAAAAGCGTAAAGTGTAAACTTCTTTAAAATCGGTGAAATTTGAAAATCGATGAAAAGAAAAAGCGACACTAAAAAGAGACAAACGTAATATACATCTATAGGATTGAGCCTGCGAGAGAATGAGATAGTAAAGTATACAGAGTTTCCTGTTATCGCGGTCTTCTTTTCTAACGGTTTCACTTCTACCGCGTGTGAACTCAACACATGTATTTTCACAGGCTAAGAGTGACAAAAGAGCTCGCATTTCACCTGAAGGTAAGTGCATACTGTGTCCGATAGACATCTACATTTATACTCGATTAAGAATCGAAATAAAGACGCATTGCTACCCCTGAAGACTAAGATGGAATGTTTCGTTTCTATTAAAAAAGATTTCCGGTACTGTACACTCACTATACGAAACACAGTAGCACCAAGCTGCTATTTTGCACAGGTATTCTGAGAGCGTATTCCTACCGTTGTAGAACCAAGACATTCGTATTATAACCATAGTATAGCTGCAATGTGGCTCTATCACGTCAAATGGGAACAACTACGGGAAGTTATAGGGTAGTGGATAATCTCATATCATTACCACACGGTTTTACTATATGTGGGCTCTTGTGGAAATGTTTCTGGGTCGACCATTGATTAATTAAAATATTGTATAATAGTAGTTTTAAACGTGAAATCGAACACGTAGTGTAAAAATCTCCAGCACGACCTTTAGGTAATTGATTAAGCAGTGCCATTGTGTAATTCCGTTATTGGTAAAACTGAGTTAACAAACAAGCTTACACTCCACCTAATGGTAAGTAGTTACTGCGCTCTATTGGTTTACCGCGTGGTCGGCGGTTGAGATAAACATCGTGGGGATCTGCGTGTCCAATAGTAGAAGATAGAAAGGCACGCGCAGTACTCAACTTGAATAGAAAAGCAATAATGTACATGTTATACGTGGTTTAGCCACATTATGGTTGCAGCACGAATGGGTCGGTTCGACCGGGGAAGGACCACGCTTTCTCAGAATAACAGTGTAAAATAGCAGCTTAATGCTGCTGTGTTTCGTATGATGAGTATAGAGAATTGGAGAACCATTTCACTGAAATAAAGGCATTCTATCTTAGTCCTCAGGGGTGACAACGCATCTGCTTTTGATTCTAAATCGGGGCAAGATGTGGATGTCTATGGGCCACAGCATCTACTCACCATCAGGTGGACTGTGTGCTCGTTTGTCACCATTATTCTATGAAAAAAAAAATACGCACACACACAAGGGAGTCAAAAGCGGTGGTATAGAAGGGGCGTGACGAATTAAGAGAGCGTCATGCCGCTTGCAGTCACTATATACGAGTCGGGTTTACTGCCTAACTTACAGTTTTTATCCTGGCATTTCCTTAGCATAATTTTACCCTTATGAACGAAATGTGGTGGAGTACGAGAAGTGTATTACGCAGCCCACCCTGGGCAAGTGCAATACTAAACGGTAACAATAGCTTTCATACGTTCGCTAGAATCTGACGTCACAATACTCGATAGCATCTAGGAAATCAGTTGCATATAATTAATCACCTTTATTCTCTGAGTAATAAAGGTTAGATGGTCCATAAACGGCGCGCTGGCTTGTAAGCAACACAATGGGTTGTTGTATTAATGTAATTTCGTGAGGTTAATAATCTTTTGTCACCGTGCCCTTGGAGCTGGCGCGATGCCAGAGCCCTTCCTAGTTCGTCTAGACCAAGTATATATAATGACTCAGGTGTATGAAATGTCATCAAAGTATTCATCAAACGAAAATATTTGTTTTTCATTTAAAAGGCAGACGATCAAGCGGCTTACTTGATGGTAAGTGACTAGTGCTTGCGAAATTCAGTAAGTTTGATTACTATTGCAGTGGAATAACTTGACCTATCTTAGGGTGTAGTTTGTCAGTTGAAAAAGTGTTCCACCAAAAGATAATTTTGAAGGCAACTAAGTTCTTTTTTTCGTATAAGAGGGGGCCAACGAGCATGCAGTACACTTGATAGTGACGAAAGACTGCAAGTTGCAACACCAAGGGGCATTGCAGGTGCGTTGCCGGCCTTATAAATAAGAGTAAACTGTTTTCTTCAAGGACCCTAAGTTGTATTGGTCAGGAAAAATCGCTGGTAATAGCCGATTCCAGAAGAAAGTTGTGCGAGAAAGAAAACCTAAATAATGATACGTATTTTAAAACTTAAATAATGAGACGTATTGCAACACTTAAATAATGGTACTTATTGCAAAAGTTAAATAATAGCATCAGTTTTATTCATTTAGCGTTTCCTCTTAATATTTAAGTCTTTACGTAGTAATGTGGCATAAAAACTATAAATAATTAAATTAATAGTAATTGTGACATTTTTACTCAATAATTAAAAATTATTAAGTAAATTAATAAATTCTACGAATTCTGTCGGGATTAATTCCCGTCGTTTTTGTTACATGGGACAAACAAAAAGATCAATAAAAATGCTTCTGCTGCTCTGGCTTTTACCCACAGCACACAATCCACAGCATCCACTTAGCATTCGGTGAACTGTGTGCTATTAGCATATTCCATAAAAATTATGTTTACTTACATCGTCCCCTTAGCGACAGTCATATTCAGGTTGCTAAGCACATGGTTGGGTCGCTTGTTAGAACCGTAGTGCTTGAACGCGTGCCGCACGCACACCGCCTGCTGTCGCTTCTGCCACACCTATACAATAGAATAGAATCATTTTTATTCAATATAGATTACAAAAATATCTACTAAAATTCATTTAAGCTATGCCACTGGTTCGAAAAAAACCTCTGTTCTGGGAAGTACCAGCATGAATCCCAGCGAGATGTTTCTTTTAAAGAACATAATTTACATTATCATATTTTTTTACAATTAGTATGAAAACATTTAAAAACAGCTTGGTAGCGATCAACTCATTCACAGGGATTATTATATTATTATTATGATAGTCCTTACTTAATAAATATATGAAATAATGCTTTGGTTACTTAAGTTACCATCAAGTAGATTTCTTTGCGATGTTTTTTTTTCTAAACGTTGCTCCCAAACAACCATTTTTCTCTTGGATCGTAGAGTAGGCAGTTTCCAAACATAAATTTCACAAGAACAATTATTTTTCGGCCATACAAATACTTTATGGGGGGTATATAGTGTAGGGCGACCCCCCACTAGATGGAGTGACGACCTGGTAAGACATGCAGGAAGTCGATGGATGCAGGTGGCTCAGGACCATGCTTTATGGTATTACTTGGGGGAGGACTATGTTCAGCAGTGGACTTGTGAAGGGCTGTAATGATGATGATGATAATACAAATACTTGTTCCGTGCGGTATGTGAACCCGCGACACCCACACACTAAGATTTTCACCTGCATCGTAGAGGCAGTCTACATACATAAATTTCACAAGGACAAACATCCAGACCCAGAACAATTAGTTGTAGGCCATACAAATACTAGTTCCGTGCGGGATTCGCGCCCTCAGCGCCACAACTCATTGTTAAGCTGCTGCGTCACGGAACCGTCATAAACCGTTTTCCTTAACGTATCAATTCATCATCAGACGCTCGACTAGTCTCCACGCCTTTATTGTTGACTAACACATATTCAAAACAAACGGTTTGCTTCGTCATTATTAACGCGTACATCAAAAGAGTGGAATAACTTCCTAGCATTTTTCTTTCCTTCAGATTATAGGTTAATTCACAGTACTTTACTATGTTCAGTTACATCACTATTTACCATCAGGTAGCATTGTAGTCAAGCAATGGCTTGAAACAGTAAAATAATAAAGATTTACTGTCGTTCACTTGAATTTGACACGTATACTTTTTTGTAGAATTTTATGGCATCAAAAACTTAACTTGTAAAAAAAGCCAAATCTCGCAACTCAGTTCTTCTACTGTAAAAAGTGGTGAGATCCATGAATACCAAGTCGATTAATTTACTCAGTCCCCACTTAAGGTTCATTCTATCTAAAATTATTACGTAATTAGCTAACCTAACAACATCTTATTGAGACCGTATCAGTATTAAAAATATTTTATGTGTTAAATAAATAGATTGACTTGGCTATCGCATTAAAACACAATGTATCTAACACAAGTAATACATATTATATTAAATTAGATAGTTTAAGCGACGACCACGTATTTAGTTATTGTAATAATTTTAGGTTTAAATGAAATAGTTATTTTTGTATCTATATTATTCTACTCTTTGTCTTATAGGCATAAGTGTATACCAAACATGTATACGATTTAAAATTAAGTTTTAAAGTAACAATAAATATGTACAATGTAATTACAGCACCACATTATTACGTTACTATTTAGTATTTGTCTAGTACTAAAATATTGCTTGTTGATTTAATACTCTTTGCATTACCCAAGATATAACAAGCGTTAACGATTCATTACAGATGAAATTACCCATTGTGTTTCGTATGAATAATAAGCGATTGTTCGAGTGTGAACGTAGATAAAAAATTTTGGACCGAATCATTTTAGGCGGAAAAAAACTCTGTTTAATAAATTGAAAACCCTGTGGTAACGGTGTAAGAATATACACTACCCTATATCATCTCGTGGGTGTCTTACAGTACGTTTGCACTGAGAAACATTCAACACGTAATGTTTTGAAACAAATCGCATAAAATAAATCACACAACATGTTTTGTTGATGGTGACGTTCGCACTCACAAAAACTGTGTAAAATTTTCAACTGATATTCAAACTTATCTTTCAAAATGATATTTGTTTTCAAACATTTTGTTTCTGTAGTTATGAAGATATAATATAGTTAAAATACGTAATGTACAATAAACTGTGAAACATATTTCAATACAACATGTTCTTTGACGTGTGTAAGATGTAAGTACGTATGTACGTACGTACGGTGATATTCTTTCACGCTTTTGAATCGATCTAGGTAGGAACCAATATCTTACCTATTTCGGCTGCAACAAGCAGTGCTTGCACTAGTGGATATCTTAGCCTTACGAAATACCAGCGTAAAATTGGAGCTCAGTGTTGCTATTGCTATATATTGTTTCGTATGGTGAGCGTAGAGAGCTGGAGACCTTTTATACTGGGTACGAACCATTTCATCTTTGTTCTTAGTGGTCACAACGCATCTGCATTTTGATCCTTAATCGAGGATAGATGTAGATGCCTATTTGCCGCAGCATCCATTTACCTTCAGGTGGGCTGTGTGCTCACTTGTGATTCTTATTCCATAAAAAAGTATATCTACTCACCGTGCTATCTTGTTTATCTAAAGGTGCTGAAAATTGTATTTGGCTCATCTTGGACTCCTTCTCATCGCCTATGGGCGACGGAGGCGAGGTTTCTCTGTAAAGAAAAGAAACAAATATTTAGTATTTATATTTTTAAATTATTAAAACTAAGGTTCTGGTTTGAAAAGGACGAAGAGAGAACGAAATGTGAAATATGGGTAAATCAGGAATGTCTAGAACAGGTAAATGAAATTGTATACTTGGAGAGTGCTTTCAGCCGGGATGGAAGATGTGATTTAGATGTGGATAGGCGTGTCGCTGCCGGAAACAAAGTCAATGGTGCCCTGAATGCATTAGTCAAAAGGCAAGGCGTGGTAAAGAGTGCACGCCTTGCAATACATAACGCAGTGTTGGTACCGACTTTGTTATATGGCAGCGAAACCTGGGTTGAAGAGCGTAAAAGCAAGTTGAATGCAGTGGAGATGCGATCTCTTCGTAAAATGTTTGGCGTTACCATAGCCGACCGAAAGCGAAACGAAGAGATTCGCAATATGGCAGGATTGAAAGATGACCTTATCACAAAAATTGATAGAGGCGTACTCCAATGGTTTGGGCACGTTGAACGAATGAGTGAAGACCGAATGGTGAAGAAAATATATAGAGCGAAAGTAAATATTAAAAGGTGTCGAGGTAGACCGAGACTAACTTTCGAAGACCATGTGAGCAAATTGCTCGAAGAGGGGAGGCTCGAGAGTACTCGGATACCTAGACGTGCATGTATGAAGAAGTTAATGAACCTGAAAGAAGCGAAAGAGGTATGTAAGGATCGTGACACTTGGCGATCTGTTCTCTCTGGCTACCCCGTTAGGGATTGTGCGTGAAGATAAGTAAGTAAGTAAGTAAGTAAGTATTTATATTTTCTGCATATATATATTTTACTTGTTATAAGTCAGTTCTTGACTACAATCCTTAATATATACAATCCAATAATTATCTATAAGCAAAGTCTAAATGAATAGTGTGGTGGCGGTGTAAGAATATCCACTATCCCATATGGTCCCGAGGGTGTTGTGAGATGCGATAGAGGGAAAATTTAACAGAAGATTGGCAGCAGGATCTTGATGATAACAAATTTAAATAATAAACTGTGGTTGCCACCTGTCTTCTAAGCGTGGCAACTATGGCAAAATCCCCCCGTGAGGCAATCTATGATTAGCAAGGCAAGGCTATGTTAAGCAGTGAACTTTTATAGGCGGCAATGGATGGGATTGAAATGAATTGAGGACCTAGTAAAACATGTAGAAGCGACTTGCAAGGGCTAAAATAACGATGATGGTGATGATTTTCTTCCGCGTTATTATTGCATTTTATTGCGTACTTGTAAAAGTATGATGATAATGAGCATTTCAATTTATATTATTTAATCAGAGTATAGATATCCTGTCCTCACGGGTGACAAACATCTGTATTCTGATTCTTAATCGAGGATAGATGTAAATGTCTATGGGCTAAACCATGCGCTTACCATTTGGTGAACGGTGTTCTCTTTTGTTACCCTTACGTGTATAAAAAAATCAAAAATAATTTTTCGGAGTAATGTTATAAACAGTTTGTAACAAACATTACACATTAGTGGGGTCCACGTGCGGTGAAGTTTCTAAAGAAACTATTATTTAAAATAAACTATATTAGAGTCATGAGGGCTGGTTTTTTCTCGCTCAAAGACTATTAAGTAAGGATACGCAGCAGAGCGTTCTCGGTACTATACCACAAGGAGTAGAGAGTTATAATTTAGTTGTTAGTGTCTTCCTATTGTCAATATTGTATATAAGTATGGAATGAAAAAAATATATTGATATGTGTCTCCTTATGTGGCTCCGACAGAATATCAGCGCGAAGGTAGCTGTTACTGTAGCATTATGCTAAGTAATTAGCTGCAATCGAGTACGAATTTTGTTTCAGTGAGTGAGTGTGAAATTATTATTTGTAAAATTACTTTAATATTATTTTCAAATGAAAAATTAAAAGTGTATAAATGATAAGCATCTTCTTTCCTTTCTTTAAATTACTGACGGCTCGGTAATACAGTGACTAAAGGTTTATTTGCGGCACTGCAGGGACGCGGGTTCGAATTCCGCACGGGAAAAGTGTATGTATGGCATATGAGTAAATGTTCCGGGTCGCAAAGTAAAATGCCACCGTGATACAGAAGCAATGCGTAGTGTGGGGGCGATCTATAACCCTTTTCATATAATACTTAATATATGATTTCAAGTGTTAACTTTTTTTTGCGTGACCACAGAGAACCGTAGTCTTAATCATTATAATTATACGGTATATACGGTATCCGACGCGTTGCTGCCGCAGAAGAAATTATTGGGAAAATATCGTTTTTAATTTGGAAGAGTTACGTTGTTTAATTCGGAATGATAATAAATTCGTTTAAATTGAATGTTATACGACTTTCAAATAAATTTGTCGGTACGATAAGCGCCACCTACTGTAATTTAATTGTACTATATCTACAACCTTCGCGCAAGTGCAAGTAATAAGTTGAGAAAGTTTTACCGCATCCTAATGTGTGTACACACATCAACACTACGATACAAATTACACTACGAATCAACACTACGATAAAAAATTAACAAACACGAAACAACAAATATTAATTTTTATTTAGATGAAATCTTTATTTAGAATCAAAATCAAGATTCAATTGAAGTAATAAATGCTTGAAACTAATTATTTTTCTAAATGAATAAATAAAACGGCAACATCGAGAGCTATTATAATACGAACATTAAATAATACTAAATAAGGAAAACTGATGAAAAATCAACTCTCATTTACTATGTTAACAGACGGAAGACAATAAACTTCCGCTTCGGTCGTCTTCAATGCCTTTGCCGTAAATATTGCATGCTTAATGTTTTAGCTATTTATTTCATAATATCATAAATTCATCACGAATATAAACTGTTGATGTAAATTCAACAAATGCAAGCTAATTTTATTTTGTCTCAGTTATGTTTAGATGAGATTACACCGTTCTTTTTTAAACAAAGCTGTAGTTTAACTTCTTTAAAAAACTATTAATTCTTTTTTTAATTGAAATCATACGAAGATCTGTTACCAGTGTGGTGTTATTATATTGTTAATAATGATTTCTTATATTTACGCGAACACTACACATTGATTAAAACTACTTTTACGGATTTTATCGCGTTTATTTATGTTATTTTTAATACCCGACGTTTCGGGTGCTTTCCAGCACCCATGGTCACGGGGGACTGAGGTGATTGACGTCCCGATGTCATTGTTAAACCCGGAGTACCTTCAGCTTTTTTATTTATTGTTTATGGTCCGATCTATGCAAAACGAACTATCTCCCGAGGTCTTGCAGTGGTATACTTAGGTTTAGTTTTAATTTTATTGATTATAGGGTCCCAAGCAGGTGGTAGTACCCAGCCTCCTTCTCTATTGAAATTAGGATGTTTTTTAATTTCAATAACCTCACGTATCATCCTTGGTAGGAATCGGCGTTCTTTCGCGAGGATTTGTGGTCCATCAAATCTGATGTAATGGTTAGGGCTCAGTCCCCCGTGACCATGGGTGCTGGAAAGCACCCGAAACGTCAGGAATTAAAAAAAATAATTAAAAGTAAAATTAAACGCGATAAAATCCGTAAAAGTTGTTTTAATCAATATATTGTTAATCTTATTATAACATATTAATAATTAAAACTTAGCTAGGTTTTCATTCCAGTTTAAAATATTAACATTGCATTGTTGCTATTGTGCCAATGAAACATCTATGGAATTTCATTGTGCGCGGCCATCTTGTTTTATATTCAATAGGTATAGACAATTTGCATTGTTCCCGCGTACACTGCGTTTTGACATATCACTCACGGTCGTGTGGCGAAATTGTCTCGATTAAGTAGGTTCATGGTTTATTGATTTAATGCTGTTATCATGAAACCTGGTTATTTAAGCTTTTTTTATTTTTATTGGAGGAGCTCGCAACGTCGACTCAAACCTACGCCATTCGATTAGGTGGACTGTGTGCTAGTTTGAATAAAAAACCCATTTCTGTTATTTATAAAAAAAGACATGATGGACAGAATATTTACTGAGACTATGTTAAGAATAAGATAAACAGTTAGAGTAGAATTAAAAGGAAGATCCTAATGAAGCAAGAATTAGTTAACGGTAGAAACATGATGACGACGTTGGAGAAGGTAGCAAATTTTTTTAGTCCGTTCTAAAAAACAATGTTTACTATCACGGCTTCTCCAGAGTCATGTAGGATTGCAGAGTATTCTTTCTTTTCACGAGATCTCCCATGATTATCGAATGTTTGGAATTTGTAAAATAATAATAAAAAAACACTGAAGTTTTAAGTTATTTTTTATCAATGCAATAAAAACTTGTTAGGTGTTTTCGTTGTTTTAACAACATATTTAAATGAAATATACAACGGTGAATATGGATTTCTATCCTTTCTAAGACTAAGTGTCCTTGATTAGTGCAACACGAAAACCTTACGCACGTTCGCTCGTTTCGGCACAGATTCCGAAGTAAAAAGACGTATTAATTCGAGCGAATTCGATAGCTAATTGAACATGTTTTTTTAAAAAACATATTTTAGGTATATTAACCTAACGCTTATTTCATCAGTAGGCTTTCGAAGACTATTTAGTCGTAAGTAAGTATATTAAATAAGTAATTAATTAGATAAAATTTGTATTTTTTAATTCGTTGGACTGGAATAATTTTGTTAGTTTACTTATGTTTTATGTATTCTACTGCGTTATATTTAAAGTCATAATTTAACATGTCTTTACATGGAAATTACACTAATATTTATACTGCTAGATTAGTGTTCGTGGCCCTTCTCCGGTTGAGCCTAACCATTTGTGCAACATACATAATATAGCTGCAGCGTGGCTCTAGGACGTTACTTACTTAGGAAGGGAACCAGGTTAGTGTTTTCTCTGCCAAAGGCCAAGGTATAATATATAGTACTTAGTGAGGAAACCCTGCCAGCGTTCTTTGCATTATACGGCATAGATTGAGCCTGCTTACGTCTCAGTGTTGGTAACACAGAAAATTT